CTGCTATGAGTTACTCACACTGAACTATAAAATTCTGTCAACATCATTTCCCACCCCCTTTTACCAGACCCATCTGGAAAAGAGGAAAATTATTCAGTGGGAATTCTACCTTACACCTCTCATTCTGAGACTAAGAACACCCCTGAAAGCATGTTGGCTAGCCACTTCTTGCCTTTAATGTCCCCCATTTTTGGTAGCCAGTTTTTAAGTTGCCTGTCCCTATCATCCCATTATTCTGAGAAAACAATTCTGTTCCTTGATCTGGAGAATCTTCCATTCCAGTTGGAATTTTTGTCAACTGCATCCATAAGCAAAATCCCAGTTCATCAAATTGTAGCAATTTGTACTTGTTCACAGTATCAAACATTTTCATCTAGTCGGGTTCTGGTCAATTCCACAGTAGCCATATGAGCTAGGTAAAATGTGTATCAGCTATAAGTTTGGGAGTTCACACACACCTCTCTGCACTTGAGATCAAATGATATCTTCACTCAGCCCTAGACCTCTGGGGCTAGATCAGTTCCTATGGGCTCAGGAGTTCACACATCTCCTTAAACTTCAGACCAGCTATACCTTTGTCTTCTCTCTCACTTCAAGGTCAGTGGGTGTCAATTGAACATGTCCAAATTACACCACCACCACCAAACTCAGCTGTGTCTTTATTGCTGCATTTCCTCTGCTTCTACTCACAAGTAGACCCAGGTGGTCACCAGGGAGCATACTAGCTGCTGCTCCCTGGCTCCCTTTAACTTTCTGTCCTAAAAGAGGGTTTTCCCTCATTTGCAGACATTTGTTTCCTTGATGTCTCTAAGGCAAATAGTTTGTTTGGAACTCAAAAAGCCAAACAGTCTTCTTTTTTACTGCTAGTAATCTTTCAATCATAAATTTCCTCTTCTCTTAGCACTTCTGGGTTGGTCTGCATGCCTTTTCAAATGTAATTGTCCTAATTTTGAAGGTTCTGGGTGAGGCTCAGGATTCCACCTAAAGCCTCATACCATCTCTGCAAAGGCTTATCCTAATTCCTATTTTAAGTGTGGAGCTGTAGGGTAAAGCACTGGACTGTAAGATCAGTTTGAATTACAGGGTCTGCAGTTCAAACTCACCAACTGCTCCTCAGATCCCCTATTCAGCGTCTCTGTAAGTCGGAACCAATGTGATGGCACTTAACAACAACAACAGTCAAGTATAGGTTAATGGGCTTACAAGCTTTCCATAATCATAATTCCCAGTAATCATTTCCATTACACATCTATGTCTGCTTTACAGTAATAGGCAGGAGAAATTAATATCCAAAGGCAATCAAACACATAAACCCTTTAAAAGCACTCAAGTTCAATATTTTCTTCATGTTTGGACTGACCCCATTGATGTGACTATGGACTTGGATGTCTGGCAGGGTTGATTCAGCAGCCCCTGGCCCTCAGTCAGGCATCAGTCTTAACCAGAGTGACATCTGCTTTAGGCAACTCTACAAGCTGCTCGTCCTTAAGCTGAAGCACTTAATCTCTTACATTCTTTTCTGCCATTACAGGTAACAAAATCCTAGCTAACCAAATAAAAATCAAAAGTTTCATTTCCCATGCCCCCTGGTTTGTTCTCTTACAAAACTTCATGCTTCCATGAGTCTAGAGGCATTGCAGTGAAGCCTGCTCTTGATGCTAACTGTAAAAATCAATTTGAAGACTGTATCTGACTTCCTCTGAAACCACAAAGGGGAAAGAGAACCAGACTCACAATAAGCCCTAGACCCATTCCTATGAAGTGGAGGTCAGGCATGCCTCTACCTTATAACCTTCTTTACTAGTGGAGGTAGCTATTGTTGTTGTTGTCAGGTGCCATCGAGTCAGAACCGACTCATAGCGACCCCATGCACAGCAGAATGAAACAATGTCTGATCCTAGGCCAA